TCCAGGGGGAGGAGCAGGACGATCTTGGTCTAGGGGGTGGGGCAGGGGCGTGAGGGGAAAGCGCGTCCAGCCTTCCTCCCGGGGACGCTCACCCACCCAGGTCTGTCTCCTAGGCCCTAACTCCTTCTGCGTCTCCTGGACTCCTGCCATCCTAGCCCTGGGGAGGTGGGGGAGGGAGGTATCCTACCCCATCGCCCTGGACCCCTGCTGCCCCTCTGGAAACCCTCCTCCACCCCAGGCTGACCTGAGACCTCACTTGGATCCCGTTTATGAGATCCCCAGCCTACCCCCCTGCCCCCAGCTTTGATGCTGGGACCCTCACCCACCCCTGCCCCAGCCCAGGGCCTCTGCCCACTTGAAGACGGGGGAAAGTAGCATGTTTTGAAGCTGTGGGATGGAAAAGGGCATAAGGAAACTCCTCGTGCCCATAGCTCCAGTGTCACCAGCTTGGGCTGATCCCCCATGCCAGGACCTCCACCCATCAGTCCTAGGTTGGGAGAATGCCCTCCTGGCCTCCCAAGTCTCATCCACCTCCTGGTCCCTGGAATCCCCTGCTCTCCCTTCTGGGCTCTTAGGACCCCATCAACATCCATGTGGGTTCCTGGGACCCTCATCCTCAGGAGGGGCTCTCCTACCCCTTCCATGCCCCTAGAACTTCTGCCCACAAGGCCTGGACTCCCAGCATCCCCTCCTGTCCAGGTTCCCCTGACTCCCACTTGCCCCTCGTGCCCTGTCACTCACGCTCGGCTTCTGCCACTTGAGGTGGCTGAAGAACTGCTGTTTCTGCCGGGCCTTGTCCATGTCAGGTGGCCTGTCCTTTCGGGCCTGCTTAGGGACTTTGGTCCTCTTGTGGGAACTGTTGTTTCCCATGGCAAGGCTGGTCACCACTGGGGGCCCAGGCCCATGCTGCCTCTGCCCTGCCCTCTGGTGGGGGATTCTCTGCCCTGGCTCTGTCCCAGAGGGGCCACATTGTGACCTCATCGGTTGACATCACCAGCTCCAGGCTCCAAGCTCCTCCTCCCAGAACATACAGGCAAATCTTGGCTCCATTTACTCTGTCTGTAACTTCTGGCCTTGGTTTCTCAGCTGTAAAAATGGACTAATGATAATAAGTGAGGTTATGCTTGTAAAATGCTTAGTGGTGACTAGAGAGGAATTTCTGTGGCCTTGGTTTGAATTCTGGCTCTGCCACTAGCTAGTTTTGGACCTTGGCCAAGGTACTCCTCTAGACCTCAGTCTTCTCATCTGAAAAATGGAGTCATTTATGGTTCCTGTAAGCTGTTATGAGGATTAAATGATATTCTACTTGGAAACAGGGCCTGGCACAGAGTGGGTGCGTGTGTCAGCCAGGTTCTTTGGTTGCAAGCAACAGAAACTGATCAATAATCTTAAACAGCAAAAAGGAACTTATTGGAAGGATTTCAGGAAGCTCAGAGAATGGCCAGGAAGTCTAGAGGCTTGGAGAAACCACTGGCCTGTCCAAGAATGAGAAGACCCAGCCTCCCCTTTGTCCCTGCCTGTCTGATGGCTGAATTGAGGCAGGTCATGGGCAGGAGAGGAAGCCCCTGATGGATGGTGCCTCTGGGACCCCTTGTGAAGGGGGGCACCACAGCTCCCTAGGACTCCCATCCTGGGCTATGTGTGTAGGTCGGGGGGCAGAGAGAGGAGTTGGTGAGGAGATTCTCAGGGAGTCTGACTGTTGGATGTACAAGTCGGCAGTTTTCTTGTATTATGTTTGACAGTAAAAACGATGACAGGTACTGGACTGAGCCCCATGTAGGAAATAACTCATTGGAGACTCTCAACAGCTCAGTGAGATAACTGTTAGCATCCCTGTTTTATAGGTGAGGAAACAGGCAAGGAGGTGAAGGAGCATCCCAAGTGGGCAGCACAGGGCCTGGCACATGGTCAGCCTACCTGCCTCTGCCCACCTTGGAAAGGGCTTGGGGGGAAATGGTGATGTAGATTGGGGTCAGTGTGTGAGGCCGATGACCCACTGTGTTTTATTTGCAGCTCTTAGTAAGAAGTGCTCAGTAGATGTCTTTTATGTGGATGAGTGAGTGAATGAATGGATAAATGAATGAATACATAGATTGTGAATTTGGGGCCAGCTGGTGAGTATGGAGCCATATAATACCATCATTCGGCTTCATGTGTCCATTATGTCATACCACACCCCAACTCTCCCACCCACCCCCAGTCCAGCTGTGCCTGGGGCCTCACTGGCTGAAGGTGGTGGCCCCAACAGTGAAGGGGCCTTGAGGCCCAGAGAATGGCAGACGGTTCTCTATGAATTGGCCTCATACCTTCCAGGAAGAGGCCAGGCCTGGACAAGGAGGGGGTCTGAGGTCTGCTCGCCCACTGAGTTCCAGTGCCCTCCCACTTATGCCAGGTCTGCATGCCATCTTTACGCTGCCACTGTTGCTCTAGTCCCTCTGGTAGACAGCTCCCCACTCAGAAATATATGCTTGGGGCTGAGAGTTGCAGACCATGCCTCCTCTGCCCCAGGAGTATGAGCGGGCCTCCAAGGTGGACCAGTTTGTGACACGCTTCCTACTGCGAGAGACAGTGAGCCAGCTCCAAGCCCTGCAGAGCTCTCTGGAGGGGGCGTCAGACACCCTGGAGGCCCAGGCCCACAGCCCGCGGTATGTGAGGAGCTCCGTGCCCCTGTGGGTCCAGTTCATGTGTGTCCATTATCTCCATGTGTCAAGTCCCTCAGCTTTCACCGCATTCCGTAGCTCTAGCATCCTGGAGCCCAAATTCTTGTTCTTAGGCAGGAGGCCTAAAGAGGGTGGGGAGGTCTGCCTTTGAGGCTGGGCCTCAGTGTCCCCAGAAGCCTGTCTTACCTCACCGAGGCCTGTTTTGGGGCCCCAGTCCTTGGCCTGTGGGTCTGGGAGCAGTAGGCCGACTGTCCGCTTCCCTCAGGTCAGATGATGAGAGGGTGTTGGTGCAGAGCAGGCCCCGTGGCAGCCGGCGGGCAGGGCGCAAGCCCCTGCGGAGCGTCAGTAGGTCGCCCACCTGGTCTCCTGGCTCCTCTGACACAGGTGTGCCTGCGGCGGGGTGGGAGGGCCTGACCTCCCCCAGTGCCTGCTCCTCCTCTTTCCCTCATTCCGCCCAGAGAGGCCTCCCAGCCTGAGGGGGCCCATGCCTGACCCCCAGGGCGGAGCTCAGAGGCCGAGATGCAGTGGCGGCTCCAGATCAACCGTCTCCAGGAGCTCATTGACCAGCTCGAGTGCAAGGTGAGCAGCCACGTGGCTGGTGCCCTGTGCCGGTGGACCTTCCTGGAGTCCACCCAAGCCAGGCACACGCTGAGGACCTGGCCCACTCTCTGTGTCCCTCACAGGCTCCCCGGCTGGAACCCTTGCATGAAGAGGAGTTTACCAAGGGGCCCAACTCGGTGAGTCTGGGAGCGGGGCAGGCAGCTGGGTGTCGGGCCAGGAGGAGGTCATGAAGTGAGGAGATTAATGGGGCCAGCTGACCCCCGGCCTCTGCCTTGCACACTCCCCCATTCTGTGAGCTTGGCCCAGCCCTCATACCCCAGGCCAGGCCAGTTGGGTTCTGGTCTTGCTGTGTGACCCTGCAGAAATCTGCTCCTCCATGAGCATCAGTGTCCCTCATCTATAGTTCTGAAAGCTGGGTCTGTGGCAGTGGGGATGGAGGCCAAAAGGGGCAGTAGGAAGTGGTGCCATTCTGCAGGAGAGCGGGACATGGCTGGATCAAGGCAGCAACCTTGGGCTTGAGAAGAAGAGGATGGAGTCAGGGATGCTGGGGTTGGATTGGGGCAGGGGCCCGACCTCAAGGTAGGCTGGGTCTGGTGCAAGCCCAGAAAGGCGGGGTCCACAGCTGTCCCTCCTGCCATGCGCTGCCCTACCCTGCCTGACAGGGCTGCCTCTCTTGCCAGCACATCCTTGTGGCCCAAAGGCAGGTACAGGTGGCTGAGGCGGCCCTGCAGGACTTCCACCATGCCCTGTGCTGCTACGTGGACTTCACAGGGGCCCAGAGCCATTGCCTGCAGTGAGTCCTCAGCTGGCTGGTGTGCTGGCCAAGGTGGGGTGGGGGGTGGTGAGCAGGGAGAAATGCTGGGGCTGGGTGTCTTGGGCCAGGGCTCTCGTTAGACACCCCTGGCAGCAGTGGTAGCAGCCCAGGCCTGGCCTGGCCATCTCTTTGGCCCTGCAGTGTGTCTGCCCAGAAGATGCTGGACAATGCCTCCTTCACCCTGTACGAGTTCTGGCAGGATGAGGCCTCTTGGAGAAGGTATGAGTGGTAGTCTAAAAGCTACCTTTGATTGAGTATGGGCCCTGGGTTCAAATAATCCTTTCCTATTCACTGTGTGACCTCAGGAGAGTTACCTACCCCCTCTGAGCCCCAGTGGGCTCCTTTCAAAATGGGAGTGATAATAGTTCTAATCTCTTATCAACTAAATGAAATGACATGTAAAGAACTGAACACAGTGCCAGGTACAAGGTAGGTGCTCAATGAATACACACTGTCACCACCATGCCACACCCTGTGCCACACACCTTGTGTGTTACTTCGTATAGTCCTCACAGTATCCCAGTGGATACGATTGTCCCCATTTCACAGAGGAGGAAACTGAGGTTTACAGCCAACATGAGGAAGGACTGAGATCTGAATCCAGGCAGCAGGACTGGGTGGGAGCTGGGAGCTCTTAACCACATGGTCCTGATCTCTGGGGACTAGCTCCAGCCTCAGTCCACTCCGCGGCCCTTCCCAGGCACCAGCAGTCCGCCTGCAGCAAGGCCTTCCAGCGCATCCTCATCGACCACCTGCGGGCTCCAGACACCCTCACCACTGTGTTCTTCCCAGGTGTGCCGCATCCCCCAACCCTCTCCACAGCCCTGGGACCTGGGGAGGGGCCGTGGGCACCTGATGGCCTCTGACTCCCAACCTTTGACCCCCAGCCTCCTGGTGGATTATGAATAATAATCGAGCCTGACTTGCATAACCAAGGACCCTCCTTCTGGAGCTTCTGGACTGGTCGGCTCAGCTTGAGACCAAGGACACTGCTGCCTCCTATACCTGGGGCCTAGCTCTCAGTGGCCTCCCAGACCCAGCTGGTGGAGAATCTCAGCCCCGGGATCAGAGACAGGGCTCTTGCTTCTATTTCTTCCTTTATCAGTGTATTTTATTGTTTGTAGCTTTGGTCTCTGAGGTACTCTGGCCTCTGCCTGGCTCAGGAGGCCTGGATTCTGGTCCCCTCTGCCCCTGCCTTGCTGCGTGACCCAGGGCAAGTCCCCTCTCTGAGTGGGCCTTGGGCCGCCTGGCTACCTAGTGGGTGCCTGCTTTCTTCCTGCTGTCTCGGGGCCAGGCTTCTGCTCTTCCCCAACCAGCAGCAGAACCAGGGCTGATGCTCAGGGACTGTCCATCCCGACCCCACCTCGACCCCTGAGGCTGGGCTGGATCAGTCTGCAGTGTGGGGTAAGGACCTAGGATTCCCCATCATCCTCCTGGGCTGGCAGGCTCCTGACCCTTCCAGCACCTGCAGCTGCACCAGCGACCTCTGGAGGATCCTGGGTTGGTTTGCATGTCATTTACATATCATTTGCATGCTCCTGCCCACCCATACTCAGGGCACTATGGGAAGCCCCAAGGTGACCTTGCTAAGTAGCAATAATTTGGGCCAAGTCACCTGATGCCCCTAGATACCTCTGAACCCCAGCCCAGGACCCCAGCACAGAGGCAATAAAGGCAGTGGTCACCTCCTGTGTCGTGTCCTCTCTCTCTCAGCAAGAAGGGCCCCCAAGCCTACAGATAGTGAGAACTTAATTACAGCTGACTCAGCTTGTCTCAATTTGGGGGCCCTCTCACCTTGTAAATCCTGGCTCTGGAGTCTTCCCTGGGAAAGGTAAGTGCATTTGGGCTCTGCCTTAACCACCCCCGCCTGACCCCCAATCCTGCGGGTTCTAGGTTTACCCCTTTTTGCCAACAGGGTGTGGTGTGGAGTTGGGGGCTCGCTACTGAGCCCTCACAAAGTCCCAGAGAGCAGGGCTGGGTTCCTGAGAGACGACTTGTCCCCAGGCAGAACCCCCCTCGCCTGCCTCACCCCTTTCCAGGCTGGACTTGTCACCACCCCTTAGTGGGTCTTACCAGCTACTGGGGACCTTCCTTCTAGCCATCTTGGGACTTGGGGATTGGAGAGAGGTGGCTACATATGAAAAGAGCACAGGATGGCCTCTGACCTGGTCTGGAGGGTGCTGGGGTCAGGATATTTAGGCAGGAGAGACACAGGTTTGGGCTCTGAGTCCGGGGAGAGCTTGCCTCATTGAAATGAATGAAGCCCAGTGCGGCTGGGGCCAAACGGGGAGGTGACAGGGCCTTGGGAGGCCTTTCATCCTGAAAAAGCTGTGGGGGGTTTCAAGGGGTGGCTGGCTAGTGGGCTGACATTTCACCCATGTGCCTGACTGCCCTGGTGGTGCCAGGTCCTTGCTAGGTGCTGGGGCATGGCCAAGGAGGCAGCTCAGATGGTGCCAGCTCAGGGTGCACATCCTAGTTTGGGACTCCAGGCAGGTCTTCCCTGAGGTCTCTCCCCAGTCACCCCTGCAGGAGTTCAGACTTGCAGGGACAGAAAGAGCTGCTCCTGCTGGCCTGGCCGCCCAAGCCAAAGAACCAGCACAGGAGTCCCTGGAGGCTCCTTGGCCAGAGCTACACCAGGCTGCCTCTGCCACCCACTTCCCAGACTCCTGGCAGTTCCTCAGAAGTGCTGCCAGCACCTGAGACATTCAGCTCTGGGTAGCATGAGGAAGTTTCAGTGTCTGTCCTTGTTAGAGAGAATCCCATCCAGGAGGCAATAATCCAGCTTTGTCCTGTTGGAATTCCTTCTGTTCTGTTTTCCTCCACAAAAGAGTAACAATAGCAAACCTCCTTTGCTGAAGGGATGTGCTGGGGAGGGTCCTGCAGGTGGAGGGGAGAGTGTCAGTCCTACAGGATTGGGGAAGGCCTCTTGGACATGGTGATGCTGGGTTTGAGCTGTGAAAGATGAGTAGGGGTCTCTAGACAGACGTGAGGGGCAGACAAGCAGGGAGAATGTTGCAAAGGGAGTAGAAGGAAGAACTGCGGAGTCTAAGGGATTAGAGGTGAGCAGGGAGACCAGGCCAGAGAGGAGTCGAATGATGTCCTGCAGATAATAGGGAGCTGGGAGTTGCCAGGGGAAGTGTTGTGGGCGGGTGTGTGAGCTGGACTGCGGACCGGAGGCTGAAGTTATAGCTACAGGGAGGACAAAGTTCTTGAGCTGGAGCTGTGGGGTCACAGAGGTCTCTAGGCCTTTACATTGTGTCTACTTAACTCTCGCAAGCTTGCCTTCATCTCCATCTTGCCATCCCCTTGGGCCCCCAGGTCTTGGCCACCATCATCTCTGGCCTGAAAGACTGTGGCAGCCTCTTCACTGGGCTTCCCTTCCCCACACCACCCACTACCAGTCCATTCCTCATAAAGGAATAGACATAAAGGGTTTTGAAAACATTGCCATGGCGGGAGGGTGGGGAGGGTATAGCTTAGTGGTAGAGCACATGCTTGGCATGCACAAGATCCTTGGTTCAATCCCCAGTACCTCCACTGAAAATTAAATAAACTTAATTACTGCCCCCCAGAACAAAACATTGCCATGGTGACCACACCTCCCTGGCTAAGATCCTTCAGTATGAGGCACCCCACTGCCTTTAGCATCAAGACCAAGTTTGATTTCTTGACTTGGCATTCAAGGCCCTTAGCAATCAACCCCCCACTTCCATTATGTGCAGCCTCCTCTCCCTAAAACACTTTTCAGCTGGGCTGGGCTATGTGCAACCTCAGTCACCGCCCCCTCCTTGGCTTTTGTTCCCTCCCACCCCTGGCGCCATCCACTACAGAAATGCCTCCTTAGCCTTTAAGTAGGAGGTCAAAGCCATCAGCTCTGAGTTGCCTTTCCCAGTCCTTGCCCTCAGTGCCCTGCTCTTGGTGTTTCTTCAGCTTGTTTCAGCAACCACTAGGCACCTGCTGTGGCAGGTGCTGGGGATGGTAAAATGTCTGGGGCTGGTGACAGCACCTCGGTCAAGGACAGGCAGAGTATTCTTGGCTCCTTCTGCCAACTGCTACCCTCACCCCCACCCTTTCACCACTCCCTGCACCTGCCCCCTCACCTTCCTCCCAACTGTGCTGGTGACTCACCTGCACACATCAAAACCTATCCTGGGGACTGGCCCAGTGCTAGGCCAGGTGCTGGAGAGACAGCAACAGCCTCGGTGGCTGCCATTGCCCTCCAGCTCTGAGAAACACAGAAGTCCCCTTAACACAGCCTCTGATGGGCCTTCAAGAAGTTACTCTTAAAGCAAATACTTCAGTAAGACACGAGGCTCCAGGCAGGATGCTGGGACAAAGGTGAATCCTCAAGGACATCACGTTTTGGCAGAGAGAGAGAAGCAGGTTGTGATGGCAACCTCTTTTACAGGGCTTCCTGGGTGCTAGGCCCTGTGTGAGGGGCAACTCTCATGGGATCACATCACACCTCCCAACCCACTGGTGTAGGCACCACTAGCATCCCCAATTTACAGACAAAGACTCAGAAGCTCAGCAAACAAGTGCCTTGCTGAGTTAGACAGCTGGATTACCCCCCGGCACCAAAAGCCGGTCTTGTGTCAAGTGTCAAGATTGCTGAGGGAGATCTTGGGCATTCTCTGGTAACAGAAAACAGCCCATGGCTGGAGGACAGTGGCAGCTATAACAGAGGAGGGAGCGACCCAAGTTGTGGGGCTGCAGGATGTCGGATGGGGAAGCAAGGAAAAGCCATAGGAGCACAGCACGAGGTGGAGGGTGGATCTGGTGTGGGCTTTTCAGAGCTCAGCCCTTGGAAGGTAGGTGGTGGGGGTGCTGAGTCTTGATCATTTCCGGAACTCCCTAGGAGGCACCCAGAGAAAATTAATTGAATTCATGGGGCAGATAGGCAGCCTTGGAAAAGGTTGGTGCAAAGGGGAAAGCAAGAGTTGCTGAGATGTGCACCCTGGATAGGAATCTGGTTTGTAGATTAAGGCGGCAGAGGTAGCAGATTTGGCTCTGTCCACAAGAGGGCGCCCAGCACCAGGCAATGAAGCTGCCCTGGGGCGTGGTGGGTGGTTGCTGGTTCTCTGATGCTATTGGGAGGGAGGATGCAGAGGAGGGGATACACTTCAGCTCACCACTATGAAATTGTAGCATCAGAAACAAGCACAGATGGGCAGGAGGAGTTTAGATCAATGCATGTTTGCTCATTCTAAGATTGTATCATTTCAGGCCATTTCTTTTTATACTGAGGAACAGGAGTAAGGTTTCTTGACTGCACCCTTGGTAAAACTTGAAAGGGCTCATTCCTTGCAACCTGCCTTCCTAAAGGAACAACTCTTTCCTATTTTTCATCTGCTTGTCTCTCTGACGACTCATACAGTAATGCTTCACTCATTTTGATTCATCTAATCTGCTGTTCAATAGATTTATATCAATTTGTAATTTTCAGAATTCTATTTCCATATCTGCCTAGTTATTTTTAGTCTCCTACTCTGTGCTCTTTTTCTTCCCAGCACCACCTTTAGAGGTTTCATGGTTATTTTATATTCTGTATTTGGTAACACTACCTGAGGTCCCAGGGATCTAAATCATTTTTTTTATTGTTCCTGTTGACTTGCTTATAGTGGCTCATTTCCTTGGACATAAACTTTCGTAACTTTCTTGGACAATTTATACTTGGTTGATATGTAATATTGTGATTGATGTTTTTGATATTTTAATATCCTTCTCTAGAGAATTTGCATTTTTGCTTCTGCCAGACACCAGGAGATACAAGCCTAGAGTCATCTTAATTCCTCAGCCTAAGGGATTCTTTGACCTCTGGAATAATGGGACTCTGAACCTTAGCCCCAGGAGAGAGCAGATATAAGAGTAGAGTCTCTGGTCAGTGTTTCTTTCTTCCAGCAGGGCCAGAGAGTTCTCTGCTCAGTTCCCTTTGCAGACGGGTAGACCTTCCCTGCTTGCCTCTTCAGTGAGGCCAAAACCAGTGACCTGGCTCCATGGAGAGGTCCTGGTTTTGTTTATCCATTTTGTACAGGCTCAAAGCCTTGTGTCATATTCTCCCTAGAGGCAGTTAATCCCTCAGACTCTGACTTCTTGGAACTTCTTTCGCCTCCAAGCAGCAGTTTTCCTCTATTATACTGAACTACTACCCCTGTGGTTACAGCTTTCTTTCTGGCCCTTGGGGATTTCCTACTTTCTCATGTGATCTCAGCAATGCAGTTAAAAGTCCATTCATTAGAATTTTTCCAGCATCCAGGTGTTTTATGATAACGGCAAAATTTTCAGTTTATTTATATAGCAAATGTAACATAGTATTTTACTGTATCATCACTTAAGTCCCTGGGATCTTTTTTCCAGAGCTAAGGCAGATTGCTAACTCGCCTACCAAATAAGCTCTTGTGCTAGACTAACAGTCTTGAGATCCTGTAGTTGCTCTGCGTGGACTGCAGTGTTGCGCAGCTGTTGATAAATAGTGGCACTCGGCACCATCTGCATGAAAGGCCATACGGCTAAGCCCCCACCCTGCCTTCTAGGGCCAAGGCCGCAGCTGTTCTTCTCCGTACCTGAGGTCTAGTAACCAATCCCTCCGTTTGCATTTTGGCAGTCTGTGAAGCTGATGGTGCCAACAAGCTTCTCGGGCAAGGCTGCTTGGAAGCAGTTCTAGAGCCAAGGCCAGAGATGGGTATTCAGG